ATTAAGTCCATTGCTCAGCATAGGAAACGGGGAGAAATGGCTTTTCATACTCAGCAAGTGGAATGTATGTTACTTAGCCCCAGTGACTGTTCTGCACATCTCCTAGACCAGGGCCAGGTAGTAAATACTGTAGGCGTTGTGAGCCATATTGTCTCTGTCTCAGCTGTTCAACTCTGCCATTTTAGTGCAAAAGCATCCACAGATAATACATTTTTCTTTTAAAGAAAGGATATGATGTGTTCCAATAAAACTTTACTTATAAAAAACAGATAGCAGGCCATATTTGGCCCATAGCCATAGTTTTCCAACCTGGTCTAAAGGATGTATAATAGTCATAAGTTAAGTATTCCATTATATGTCCCATTTCTGAGAGAAAGGGTCACATTAGCTGTATAGTTGCTTTTTCAAGGTATTAAATAAATCACTTATTTTTTAATATATCTAAGCCGTTGGCCTCAAGAATTCATTGAGCAGCACACCATATAATTTATTTATGGTATATTATATATGTTGATAAGGAGAATCGAGTTTTTAGACCACACAATTTTCTTGAATGTGTTAAGCTAACTCGGTGCTCTATTTTTTAATGGCCTCTAATGAAATCCTAATTTTATTGACTCATATTTGTCTTTATTGCATCTCTGAACCTTCTCACTTTCTTTTTAGGATTTTTAAAATTGTAGCAAAGTATACATAACAAAATTCACCATTTAACCATTTTTAAGTGTAGAGTTCAGTGGCATTAAGCACACTCACACTGTTGTGCAGCCATCGCCACCATCCACCTCCAGAACTTTCTCATCATCCCCAACTGGAACTCCACACCCATTTAACACCAATTCCCCATTCCTTCCTTCCTCCAGCCCCTAGTAACCACTATTCAACGTTCTATGAATCTGACTACCCTAGGTGCCTCATATAAGTGGCATCAGATGAATTTTGTCCTTTTCTGTCTGACATTATCAAGCATAATGTCTTCAGGGTTCTTCCATGTTGTCACGTGTCAGAATTTCATTCAAGGCTAAGTATATTCCATCATATGTACATACCACATTTTGTTTATCCATTCATCCACTGATAGACATTTAAATTGTCTCCACGTTTTGGCTGTTGTGAATAATGTTGCTGTGAACATTGGTGTACAAATATCTGTTCAATTCCCTGCTTTTAATTTTTTTGGGGGTGTATATCCAGAAGTGGAATTGCTGGATCATATCATAATTCTGTATTTAATTTTCTTTTGAGGAACCATCATTCTGTTTTCTACAACATCTACATTTTATATTCCCACCAGCATTGCATGAAGGCTCCAATTTCTACATATCTTTACCAAAGCTTATTTTCTATTGAGTTTTCTTTTCTTTCTTTTTTTTTTTTTTTTCAAAAATAGCCATCCTAATGGGTGTGAAGCCGTACCTCACTGCAGTTCTTACTTGTTTTTGTGCAATATTTGTAGTTAGTGTAAAAGATATAGTTAATTTGAATATTATATTAAACCATGTCTGGTGTAAATGAGAATTATATATGCAGGTATGTATACATGTATATATGCATTTATTCTTCTAGCTCCAAAATTATGTGAGATGGTTTCTAAGAACATGTAAATAATAAGATGAGTAATATAAATAGATCAATTCATGGCATTGGGAATATAGAAGAAAACTAAACATGAAGCTAAAACTAAAAAAATAGCCCAAATTAGATGACTACGAAAGTGTGTTGTAATGTCCCATACGATTACTAAAATTGGAGTGGAAAAGTCAATCCCTGAACTTCATAGGGCCATAGAAAAAAGGGAAACAGGGTCAGTAACATGATTTGTTTATTCCAGATGACAAAAGCCCAGGGAAAAAAGGCTTTTCTTGGTTCATAGATGTAAGAAATAAGCTATAACTATTTTAAAATTCTTAAAGAGACAGTTATGTTACTGACACCAGCTGATTTCAGATGGAAAGCAAACATAGTTTTTAATTAAATTATTGGCGTTGGAATCATAAATGACTCCATAGCCTGAACATTATAAGATAGTTTTTGTGTAAAATACTAGTTGCAAAGTACAATTAAGAAAACAAAAAATCAAACCCCACCTATCTCAGCAGAACAATAAGGTCTGTTCCTTTGGACTTTAGTCAGTCAATGTTTTATGTAGTACAATAGGTAAAATCTTGAATTGCTTCAGACATATTTATGAATGTACCTGGCATTTCCTTCCCAGGTCACAAATTATAAATATATGTGTGTTTGTAAAAATAGTCTTCTTAAAAATATATCCTTACCCTCTGTTTGGAAGGAGGGGAAAGATCTTCATGTTCAAATCTGATACTGAAATTTCTTTTTCAACTTGAAACTACAGGAACTAATATATCATTTTCAAGTTTATACTAGAGAAAACACTTCATGATAACTGGAGCTGTTGTGAAACCAACTTGAAGAGCAAAGAAAACAAAAAATAAGAATAAAAGCCACATCCAACAGATGTTTTTAAAGCACTGAGAAAGTTTGTCTTAAAAATTACTCTAAAATTGAAAGATATATCATTTTCAAGTTTATACTAGAGAAAACACTTCATGATAACTGGAGCTGTTGTGAAACCAACTTGAAGAGCAAAGAAAACAAAAAATAAGAATAAAAGCCACATCCAACAGATGTTTTTAAAGCACTGAGAAAGTTTGTCTTAAAAATTACTCTAAAATTGAAAGAATCTGTCTGAGGTTTTACCCAGAAGTCTGGATGAAAGATAACAACTGACATCTCTTGTGCATTTACAATGTTTCAGGCACAATTCAAATTGCTTTGTACATATTAACTCATTTATTCCTCTAAACTAAGTGAGGTGTTAATACTGTCATCGTTCTCATTTTACAGGTAGGGAAACTGAGGCATGGAACAGCTAAGTATCCTTGCTCTGGGATATACAACTAGGAAGTGTTAGAGCTGTCATTCACATACAGCCACCAAGTCTGGCTCCAGAAGTCACACGTTTACACACTAAACTGAGTTGCCTCTTGATGTTAGAGCAGATGAACCAGAGAAGGACTGTTTTGGTCAACTGGCAAATAAATGAATATCTCAGATTCCTTCTGCGTCGTTATAGTTTTGTCTTTTTTTTTTTTTTTGCATCTGGCTGGTATGGGATCTGAACCCTGACCTTGGTGTTATAAGACTGCGCTGTAATCAACTGAACTAACTGGCCAGCCCCTGTCTTTTTCTTTAGATGGTCAAACTCAGCTTAATTATCCTTGAAATTTCCCTTAATATTCTTATATATAATTCCTAGTACTAAATATTCAAAAATGAATGATGCTCCAGGTTCTAGTTAACTGTTGAAACCATATGCAGCCATTAAAGATATGTTTTCACAAAGTTTTAAGAACATGGAGGAATGCTTATACAATGAAGTAGAGTAGCAGGATGTAAATTTGCAAGAAGCCAAGCTTCAGACCCTCCACACCCCCAAAAAAAAACTAAAAAAGGGAGAATTAGGAATTATTTCTTGTTTACTTTTGTTAATTTTCTATAAAGTTTGATTGAATACTTTTATAGTCCAACAAATAAAACACTTTATTTTTTGTAAGGCCAATTAGAGGCTGGCCATTTGGCTCAGTTGATTAGAATGCAGCCTTAACACCGAGGTTATGGGTTTGGATCCCCTTACCGCAGCCAGAAAAGAAAAAAGAAAAAAGATCAGTTAGAGCCTTTCATCACAAAAGCATAGTACACAGTTATTACCGATGATCTTATTGTATGACTTAGAATCATTTCCATAGAGCCCTGTGCTATTTGAGTGAAGGAGGCACAGTTCAGACCTGCACTGCCATATGCATATGTCATTTGGCTACTTAGTTTTAAATTAAATAAAATTTAAAATTCAGTTCCTCAGTCACATTAGCCACATCTCAGATGCTTAGTGTACCTAGTGATACCCTTTCTGTCATCACAGAAAATTCTATTGCACATCATTGGTTTAGAAAAAGGAACAAAGAACCTGGAACCTGAAGACTAGGAATCAAGTCCTTCTACGAGCTGACACTTGCTGTGTGAAATGGAGCGATTTACTCACCCTTACTATTTCCCCATGGGCAAACTGGGACTAATGATCGTATCATTACAGAGATTAAGAAGATTGTATAAGAGAATGCAGGTGAAAGGTCTCTGAAAACTGTAGCGTACTTGACCAGGTAGATGTTGCTTCACAAGTCCCCTGCTTGAAGTTAATCTAGCTCTTTGTGGACTGATTCCAAATCCGTAATGGTTCACGCCAAGAATTTTGCCTAAACGACAGCATAAAAATCAGATTTACCAGGCTTTACTAGTTTCTAGACCAAGTCTGTGGCAATGTGGACGTTCCATTTCTCCTTGTAAAAAGCTTCAATACAAAAAAAAAAAAGGAAAAAATTTTTAAATAATAAAAAACAAAGACAAAATAAAAGGCTTCAGTACACAGCTCTGTATCTCTTACATAACACCTCCTCGAGGTTTTCTTTAATCATTAAAAGTTCTCACTGTAAATACATGGCTGTATTTACATTCCTGCAATAAAAGACTGCTTTAAAAAGGGGGGTGGAGGAGGAGGCTGTATTCACCAAAGAAATAAATGGGGTTTGTAAACTTCTATATAACTAAAGGAAATCAATCTGAGTTGACAGTGCAGGAGTTAAGAAAAAGATGTTGCCATTTGCTGGAAGAATGTGAGGTTTTCAGCCATGACAGCCGGTTCTCTAAACGTCAAAGCTTTCAGGGTTCTGATTAAAAGGAAGCACTAGCTCATTCTGGTATGTTTTTTCCGAGGCACTTCTGGTTTTCCCTGCCAGACAATTCGACTGTTTGGGTAGACTATTCTAGGGCTGCTGCATTTCCAGAGCGGCCTCCACCTATTTCTCACTTAACCATCCCATGTCCCATCAAGCAGCGTGAGTCTTGCGAGTCTTAAGGGGAGAGAGGAGTCGGGTGCCAGTGAAGTCGGTGCGGTTTCCCACTCACGCTCCCTTCCGCTCCCCCAGGTTTCCGCCCGCCCTGGATGCCGTTGACATTATGACCGCAGAGGATTCCAGCACAGCCATGAGCAGCGACCCGGCCGCCGCCTGCTCGGCCAAGGTGCCCGAGGGCGTGGCGGGCGCGCCCAACGAGGCGGCGCTGGTGGCGCTGCTGGAGCGCACCGGCTACAGCATGGTGCAGGAGAACGGGCAGCGCAAGTACGGCGGCCCGCCGCCCGGCTGGGAGGGCGCGCACCCGCAGCGCGGCTGTGAGGTCTTCGTGGGCAAGATCCCGCGCGACGTGTACGAGGACGAGCTGGTGCCCGTGTTCGAGACAGTGGGCCGCATCTACGAGCTGCGCCTCATGATGGACTTCGACGGCAAGAACCGCGGCTACGCCTTCGTCATGTACTGCCACAAGCACGAGGCCAAGCGCGCCGTGCGCGAGCTCAACAACCACGAGATCCGGCCGGGCCGCCTGCTGGGCGTGTGCTGCAGCGTCGACAACTGCCGCCTCTTCATCGGCGGCATCCCCAAGATGAAGAAGCGCGAGGAGATCCTGGAGGAGATCGCCAAGGTCACCGAGGGCGTGCTCGACGTCATCGTCTACGCCAGCGCGGCCGACAAGATGAAGAACCGCGGCTTTGCCTTCGTCGAGTATGAGAGCCACCGCGCCGCCGCCATGGCGCGCCGCAAGCTCATGCCCGGCCGCATCCAGCTGTGGGGCCACCAGATCGCCGTGGACTGGGCCGAGCCCGAGATCGACGTGGACGAGGACGTGATGGAGACCGTGAAGATCCTGTACGTGCGCAACCTCATGATCGAGACCACCGAGGACACCATCAAGAAGAGCTTCGGCCAGTTCAACCCCGGCTGCGTGGAGCGTGTCAAGAAGATCCGCGACTACGCCTTCGTGCACTTCAGCAGCCGCGAGGACGCAGTGCACGCCATGAACAACCTCAACGGCACCGAGCTGGAGGGCTCGTGCCTCGAGGTCACACTCGCCAAGCCCGTGGACAAGGAGCAGTACTCCCGCTACCAGAAGGCGGCCAAGGGCGGCAGTGCGGCCGAGGCGGCGGCGCCACAGCCCAGCTACGTGTACTCGTGCGACCCCTACACGCTGGCCTACTACGGCTACCCCTACAACGCGCTCATCGGGCCCAACAGGGACTACTTCGTGAAAGGTAAGTGCAGGCTCGTCTCCTGGGCGGGCCCCCTAGAACCACCCCCATCCTGGGCGGGAGGCATCAGGACTGTTGGGGCTATAATTTACTGAGCCAGGGGACGTTGAGCCTCCCCCCTCCCCACGCCGTTCAGGTTTCCATTCTGTGTTCAGTTCTTTGCTGGCACTGGAAGCAGTCACTTCCGTAGCATTGGAAGAGATACACATGGTTCTGGGGTGAGGTAAAATCATGGGAGCGTGCAAGCTCTTGCATTCTGCCTTGCCAGGGTCTACTGGATTTGGGACTAGTCCACCAATCTCTTGGTACTTACGTTAAAACCTGCTTGTGATAGTAAATCTTAAGATGTTGGTGGGGGGCAATGTTTTTTGTTTTTTATAATCGTTGATGAACATATAATGCAACTAAGCATCACACTGGAAAATAAGATACCTAAGTTCTGGGTCCTACTGTCCTATTAACTGAGATTATGACTTTAACCAGTCACTTTAACCTCCTTTGGTCTGTTTTCTCAAGTGTAAAATGAGGAAGGTGGACTAGCAGATCTTCCAGATCTAACTTTGTTACAGTCTATGACTGTTTTCCTTTACTGAAGTTGCAATTACAATCCTAGGAACTCACCCTGCGGAGTTCACCTTTTGCACTAAACAGATATACTTAGGGTGCAAATCTAGGCTGAAACAGACTGTTTGAAGCATCTTTACCAGCCCATTAAAGAGCAAAGGTGTAGCCCATCTGCAACTTAGACTTAGAGCAAACAAATAAATGCCAAGAACCGTGGGCTGATGTCTGCCTCCTGAACTATCACTGTTGGGTGCTCATCATTTTTTGTGTTGCTATTATAAGCAGGCAGCATAAGAGGCCGAGGGCGAGGTGCAGCTGGCAACAGAGCCCCAGGGCACAGGGGTTCCTACCTCGGGGGATATTCTGCTGGCCGTGGTATATATAGCCGATATCATGAAGGGAAAGGAAAGCAGCAAGAAAAAGGATATGAACTTGTGCCGAATTTGGAAATCTCTGCCGTTAATCCAGTTGCCATTAAACCTGGTACAGGTCAGTATAAATCAGAATGAGAATGCATCCGTTCAGCCTAATCCCCAACCCTCTCTTTGAAGTGAGTCCAAGCCTTTCCTCTGGCTCTTATGTCAATCCACACATGGGCTCCTCTTCTCAGAGGCAGCTAGAGACTAGGCAAAAAGACCAGGTGGCCCCCTGGACCTTCTTATCTGGAAATTAAGGGGATAGTCTAGTTCAGACCATGTTCACGTCAAACTTTCAGGTAGTAAGTTTTTCAGATGAGTGTCACCAGTTGTTAGACTTTTTCTCAATCAATGGCCAATTAGGCAGAGGTGACAGGAGAATGAAGAATATGAGGCTCTCTGTAGCAAAAGACAGCTAAAACCAGTCTTTTCCTTACTCAGGCCTATTTCTACCCCCAACCATCAGAAGCCGGAGGGTGCAGTTTATTGCCAGCTCTGAGGGTTATTGGGAAGGGTAGAAAATTCCCCTTCAGAAGCAAATGGCACCATTTGCCCCTTGTGGTTTGAGCAAACAAGAATGCTTGAGGCCAAGACAGCAGTGAAAGTTTTTGCAGCTGCTAATTCTCTGGATTCTAATTTCCAGCACTCATTTCCTCCTCTACCTGGATTAGTAGATTAGGGATAGGGATGCTCAAGTATTTCAAACCAGGGACCTTGAACTTTGCTTTCACCTCCAGACCTCACAAACCAGTTTGCCAACGTTGTTCGTGCCCTTGGTCGCCTACTATGTGGCAGGTCTTCTAATCCTAACCCACAAAGAATTTTAACTCCACTGTGTGGGCCTAGCACAAACTCGGTAATAGCATACACTACAGAAACATCCTAACACATGGAAAATTCAGTCAGTGGGTAATTGGAGTGATCCTCCTTCAGACCTCTTCCTGGCTTCACAGAAGGTAAATTGAAAGAGCTGTTTGAAGCTCAGCTATTCTGATTTTCTTCTGGTTGAGGATTGTACATTTCTTCCCCTTGGTAAAATAGAGTCAAGGAATCTGTGCATTTGGGGCATAGGTTCACATTGGCCTCATACGGCAAGAAAGCATTTTCCAAAGAGGGCCTCCTTTTGAAGTAAACCTGTGAAAAAATTCTACAATCTGCAGTTAAGTGACTGCATAGACTGGATTTCCTTATAAGTGCCATTGGCATGATGGGCAATGTAAAATTGATCCCATATCTCTCTGTAACTCCATAAAATAGAGCCTGGATATAAGAGTTGTCACTTTTATTTTGGGGGGAAGGGACTCCTGTTAGCTAGTTATAATAGCTTAAGGTTTACCTAGAGAAAAGAACCACTAAACAATCTTTAGCCATGTAAAGTCGTGTCCTGGGGCGTGTGATAGAAATTCCTGTGGGCAGGTAGCCAGAACAGTGCAGGGTTACTTAGTACTACCCTATGTAGCTTAAACTCAACCCTCTGTGGGCCACATCAAAACTTTGTATTTTAGGAGAGGCACCAGGACAGTGGTGAAGTATTTGGGGACAATACCAATGGAAGATATGGTTGGAAAGGCAGGTAAAGGAAGGTTGAGGTTTTAGGTGTATTTTATTGAATGGCTGTACCATTGTTTAGCAGATAATTATTTGTCTCTTTATCTTTGATCAAGTCAATCTTTATTAGAATAAAAGTACCTACCATTGGAGAAAAAATATAAATGACAGCATTCTTTGTGTACACATTTCGTATTCTTGCTTGGCCTTTCAGTACACACGACATGCACTACACAGACTCTCCCAAATCAGAGCTGGTATCTTTCCTTTTGCTCTGTCCTTATCATGCATTGACATTCAATAACTGCTGTTTGAATCTCTGGTTGAAATCAGTCCTTTGGACTTCACTCACAGAAAGTCTTTGAATTGGAAGGTCCCACCAAAAAAAAAAACAGCCACTCTACTGGTTCAATACTATAAGTGATATTCGAAAATTAGGAAATTTTCCTTTCTTTTTTTATTATATATTTTTCTTGAATCAGTAGTGTGGAAATCTGAAATACAGGGTGGGGAGGATGTACGCAGATCTCTGAGTTCTCGGAATGAAACCCTCAGCACCTGCTCCTTGAGAAGCGGTGAAAGTGAACAGGGCAGCGGGTCTGGTGATGAGCGGGTGAGCCATAGGGAGTGGGCAGGCTCGCTCTCACGCTGGTTGGGGGTGATGAGCAGGTGAGCCATAGGGAGTGGGCATGCTCGCTCTCACGCTGGTTGGACCTCAAGCCTCAATCTTACTTGTTCTGAGCCCATTTTCTCAGAATCAAAAGGCCCTTTCTTGCTCGCTAGGGCATCAAGAGTAAGATTCAAAATGAGATATTCCTGTAGAAGTAATAGAAAATGTTGGTGCGGAAACCTGACTAGACCTTCCTTCCATGGTGATCTATTGGGCGACTCCGTACCCGTGTGGTTCCTTTTATAAGACAAGCAGGGGAGTTATCTGCTTCCTCCCATCTCTTTCTCTTGGGTAGCCTGGAGAGGCCTGTGACTGCTGAACTTGGTTTTTAAAAATACCATACAGCAAGTGATGGACCCTCCTCAGTGACTGAAAGTGATCAACCTGTTTTGCTTCTCTTGCAGTGGCCATCCCTGCCATTGGACCCCAGTATTCCATGTTTCAGGCAGCCCCAGCCCCTAAAATGATTGAAGATGGCAAAATCCACACAATGGAGCACATGATCAGCCCTATTGCTGTGCAGCCAGACCCAGCTAGTGCTGCTGCAGCTGCTGCCGCCGCCGCTGCTGCCGCCACTGCTGTCATTCCTGCCGTGTCCACGCCACCACCTTTCCAGGTACAGTTCTTGGGAGGTCACTGTAATTTGTATGTGAAGCCTCTCTTTAAGGTGGATTCATTTAGCACCTGAGAATTTACTATGTGTCTAGCTGTCTATCAGAACAATGGGGTTGGGTGATACAAACATTTTTTAATGTGACTCGTGACAGAAAAGGAAAATTTTAAATAATAATTGTACTACCTTAATATTATCATTGTGTTAAAAATGAGAATCAAGATACAAAAATGACATGCAATTTTTCAGTGTCATAATATTATACATATCATGTTTTTGAATGGCAGTTTAGTTCATGTTGTTAAGAAGCTAATGTATGAAGTCCAGGAAGGTATTTCAGGTTTTCACTTTCCAAACTTCAGCTCAGTGAAGATTTTTTTAAAAAACACTGACATCCCCCCCATATATATGATATATATTATATATGAATGGGTGTATGTGTGGGGGGAGAGAGAGAGCTAGAGGGAGAATAACTGTACAGATACATAAAATTTTACAAAATCTGCCCTTACTCATATCCCACTATTCCCACACTAATCTTTCCATTTCGGCCCCTTCCTTACCTTTGCTCAGTGTTCTCTTATCGATGGTCTCTTCAGTCTTATCTGTAGAATCTTCTCCATCCACCTGTCTGAGAGAAATCCTCTCTCTTTTACTTCTCCATACTATGTTGTTATTTGGCATATGGCTGCCAATATGTTTCTGAATGGGAGCCACACTGGAAAGTGATCTCCCAGCATGGTTTCTAGAACCTGACTGTGGAACACCTTCGATCATCCTCCCCTGCCTTGCAGGCATTCACAGCTATACTATGTTGTTATTTGGCATATGGCTGCCAATATGTTTCTGAATGGGAGCCACACTGGAAAATGATCTCCTAGCATGGTTTCTAGAACCTGCCTGTGGAACACCTTCGATCATCCTCCCCTGCCTTGCAGGCATTCACAGCTGTTCCTGTTTAACCATTTTGTATCCAAAATTTCATGTAGCCTTTGCAAGCAATAAAGAAATATTTGCTGATGTAGACATAATCACTTTTGCAAACTGATTTTCTCAAAGTGTTCTCAGTCTTTACAACAAATCTGTGGTGTTGGTAGAGCCAGGGATAACATTCCCTTTTGACAGGAGGGAAAACTGCAGTCCTTTCCCTTCCTCTCCCCCACCTTCCCACCCCATCACATCCCTTGCCCAAATGTGTTACTTTTCAGAAGTCACATACCTAGTGCATACAGCCAGGACTGCAGCCTGCGTCCCTGATTTATGTGTGCCCTCATTTATGATCACTTGTTAGCATGCCTGGGAAATGTTACTTGTGGCAAAGGCATAGTTACTTATGCTGATGAAAAAGAAATCTTCAGCAAAATTAGAGGGAGGAAAGGTGAGAAGTAAAACAAATTCCATGAAACAAATGCAGGAGAATGGGGATTGATGTGGAGCCATTATTAGTAAGATTACTTACAAGCCTCAGTGCTCACAAAAATTTGGCATAGCAGGAGGATGTGAAGACCACGTTATAACACTAAAGCCAAGGGTTCAGATCTCCATACTGGCCAGCCACCAAAAAAGAAAGAAAGAAATTCACAGACCAGCATCAATGCCATTTTAACCCATAGTTTCAATTTCATTACCTGAATTACAGGCAGTTTTCGAAAATGTCGAAAGGGTAAATGTTTCCTCCACTACCACTACTGCATTTGTGGTTTTCTTTATCCCTCCTCTTTGATGAGGCCATATTAATAAAATTGTACTGTACTTGGCTCTTTACGAAAGTGCTTTCCATTTTACAGATAAGAAAATTAAGGCTCAGGGAGATGACAGAATTGCCTAGAGCCACATGGCTGGCCAGGAGCAGAATTGGGATTGGAAGGTCAGGTGCCTGATCTATGCTCTGTCCTTGTATCACAGTGAATGCCATCTATAGAAGGGACATCTGAGAGAATGAAAAGAGAAGCCATGGATTTGGCGAGCTGCTCTTGAGTTCAGGTTGACAGAATAGAGTCTGAGCCTTGGTATTTCTCATTGCCCTAAAGAGGATTTTTGTCAGCCCCCCTCCCTGGGCTCAGAGATGATTTTTATCAGAAAGGACAGACGAGCAGGGAGAGCCCTTCCACACTCTTTGGTTGCCACTCACGAAGACTGGTGACCTTTCACTCTTCCTCCTGGGTCATTCCTTCAGGGGCTGCCCTCTCAGTGGAGGGAAATTCACTGCCAAGGCACCCACCCATACCAGTCTCCATAGATTGCAAGGTTTTTAAAAACAATCAGGTAATAGTGCAGTTTGTTTCAGACCTGATATCATTACTACAACCCAAGGGCTTAAAGGAAAACATCTTTGGGCAAAACAAACAAAAATATAAACCATTCTGCCTTACTCTTTTACAATCTTTCATATTTCCATTCCAGACCAAACAACCAATCTTCTTAAAAAAATAATCAGGGTGTAGTTTGATCTGTAGTTACATAGAAGTGACTGCAAGTGGTTTTGGCTACCATGCTTGGATTTCATTTATTCTCACCTTAAATCATTTGGTGGGCGAGAAGAATTACAGCTCACCTTAAACTATTTTGCACCACTAAAATGGGAAGTAGGAAGCTTTGATAGGATGTTATACTGGTTAGCAGAAAGTGGACAGGTACATCTCTTGTGTTTGTAGGTGTTCAGTAAAGATTCAAAGAATACATAAATATATGCACACGTGAATTTGGATATGCACACAGTACCTGACACCCAGTGAGTGAAGACTTAGCATTTCTCACTCCCTATCTCTGTGCAGCCCTTCCTTGGGACACCCTGACCAATAGCAGAAACACATGGAAAATTTGAGTGCAGTGGGTGGCAACTGGCCAATGGGTATTGTAACATAGCTGAGCCATGAACGACCCTGATCTTTATCAATTACCACCCAGTAATTGGACACATGGTAGATAGATGCTCAAAAAGTACCAGTTTTTGTTTGGTTCATTTTTGCTTAGGTGTTGTTATAAATCACCAAACACACAACTTAGGACAGAATCACTCATTTACTCAACTATTATTTACTGTCCATAGTTGCTTGTCCCTGGGCACTGAGTTGGGAACACAGTGGTAAAGGTGTCTCTTTACTTAGTGCTTATGACCACTTAACATGCTCAAGTTAAGCCAATTGTTTGGGACACCTGGAACTCTTAGCGCTTCTGGCTGCATTGTCATTCACCCGCCCCCAGCTGTGAGCCGGTACATATCGACATGCATGATTTGGTGTTGGAGGAAGCAGCCTGACCCAGCTGTTGGACTGGACTGTAGCACATGGAAAGGTTTCTCTCAGTTATCACCTTCCCTGCGATTTTCTGCTTTTGTGCATTTGTTATTTACATTTGGAAAACATTGCTTGTGTCTTGCTGTGAACCACAGTCTTCCCAGTTCTGAAGCTTCTCTCCCTGGTTGTAAAGGGGTGCTGTGAAATCCACATATAGTGTTGCAGGAGGCAAGAATTATAATATAAGGCCAAAAATGTGGCCTCTGGAGTCGCACTTGCCTTTGCTTAAGAGTTGTGTCACTTCGTGCAAGTCATGTAACACATTTATACTTCTCTATATAATCATAGTTCCAACTTCACGGGTGGTTGTGATGGTTCAGTAATGTACAAAGCACTTAGAATAGTGCCTTGTAGACAGTAGTCTCAGTTATTATTGTTACGATAATCATTGGTATAATTATTATTTTGAGTACAGTTGAAAAAAGTACTCCCAGGTTAGAAGTTCCTTTGAATATAATTTTGTGACTCTGATTTGCAGATTGTGTAAGAGAAACAACTAATTTCTTTATAAAAATCCAGGAAGAATTCTATTTAGCCAAACATCCCTTTTTCCGTTAAGCAGCTCACAGAACTAGCTCCATGGCAAACACAGTCTTCCCATCCCTACTCCTATTTGTTCTGAAAACATAGTATATTACACTATATTACATAGTATGTTCCCAACCTCCTCCTCATTTGGAAATTCCTCCTTATCCTTCAAAACCCAACTCACATGTCCCCACTTCTGAGGTGCTTTCTCCAAAGTGCTTTCTCCAACTCCTCAAGTTAGTCGGTTTCTTCTCTAAGCTTTTGCAACAATTTGTGTATATAGTGTTGTCATTATCTTGGGTGGGAGGTGGTGGAAACCATCACACTGGCTGAAAATTATGTATGGTCACAGTCTTTTAAGGTCGCAACTTAAGAAGCTGTGCCTTTCCATTAAGTTGGCACAGTCTACTCTCCTCTGTCTTTTTGAAACAGATCGTGTCCCATCAGTTAAGTAAGAGTTGAGACAGCTGGCGTGTAATTTGGGGCCATGTTTTAGGGAAAATACTTATTTTTAATTACTGTGAGGTGAACTGTACCGATGGTAGATTCTCAGCTCCCTTGAGTGAAGAGGTGGGTAGAAGATTCCAGAGGATTTCAGCTTTCCCTCAGCCTTTCAGGTCTCTCACTTTCACCAGTGTCTTACCATTGAGTTTGAATGAGCCTTGAGGGTGCGACTCCACTTTACGTCTTTAATGGCTCCTACTCCCCTCCCCGATGAGAATGGAAACCTTTGCTTTTCCACCTGTCCTCCCAACCCCTGGGAGATGTTTGTTGAATGAACGATCGTTACATGCAAGGATTCTTTTTGCCTCTCCTCCTCAGGGCCGCCCAATAACTCCTGTGTACACGGTGGCTCCAAACGTTCAGAGAATCCCCGCTGCCGGGATCTACGGGGCCAGTTACGTGCCATTTGCTGCTCCGGCCACAGCCACGATCGCCACACTACAGAAGAACGCGGCAGCGGCCGCCGCCGTGTACGGAGGATACGCAGGCTACATACCTCAGGCCTTCCCCGCTGCTGCTATCCAGGTCCCCATTCCCGACGTCTACCAGACATACTGAGGGCAAGAGCAGAGACAAACCACAGAAACACCACTGAAGGAACGCTTTATTTATGAAGAAAGAACGTGTCAGATTAGCACACGCATGAAACCTGAAAGTGAAGAATAGTTATCAACCATCGTGCGGAAATATTTTATATACATGAAGTTTTCACTAGTTTTTTAAGACTATTTTCACCTTAGCAGGCCTGTGTTCATACATTTCTAAGAGACTTGCAATGGTTCGTGCCTTGATACCATCTTTTAAAAATTTGTATACTGTACTACATTTGTATAGAGGTTTTTTTTTTTTAAGGATATATTTTCAGTATGAAGGTTATTTTCTTAACTTCTGCACTCCAGAGATTTCTATTTTGTAGTACCTTCAATAATATATCAACTATATATTAAAAAAAAGCACACTTGAGCAGCTAGGGAACTATTTTGAAAAGTATATTCAATATTTAAAGATACAAACAATAGTGCTCTAAAATACTATGTAAAACTATTTTAAAGGTTATACTGGAAAGTGCAATTTTAAAATGAGTAAAACCTCTGTATTTCTGCTGGCATTAAGGGTTGATGGTGTTACCATGTGTCATACATGATGGTTCTATTTTTTAAAAAACATAACACTCAATCTGTCCTTAAGCCAACATTGCAAAGAGTCACACTTCTGAGTCCAAACACTGGAAAGCTCTCACCTGTGACCATTATACTGGGCTTTCTCCATGTGCCTTTACTTTTAAACATGCCTCCTACCACATCCCTCCCACCCTCCCTTCCTCCCCCAACACCCAGTCCAACCTCAGTGTTTGGCAAGTCTAGGACCAATGAGTAACTCTGATAGAGAAAAAAACTGATGGCTTTTATACTTCTTCCTGGGTTTTTGTTGGGTTTTTTGTTGTATTGTGTGGTTTTGGTTTTGGTTTTGGTTGGGGAGGTATTTTCAATAGCAGAGTAAGCACAAGGTTTTAGTAGGTTTGCGTAAGATATCTTTGCATAGCTATTTAATTGTCCAATATAAAACTTCAGTTCCTTTTCTAATGCTTTAGTTTATACGTTTTTGAAGTAAGAGTTTGTAGGGGCAAAGAATGTATGTTATTATAGACAAGACCCCCCAAAGACTCTTGTCAGCAGAAAGTTATGCTTCTAGTTGCCTTATGTATGAAAAATGCCTATGGTGGTCAAGGGTGTTGGAAACATGTTTATTGAATGGGTCTTTCCTCCGCTGCTGTGCATTTGGCAGGTGAACTGAATTGGGGTGTGCACATCCAGGCGGAGGTGAAGGAGAGACCTGTAGGAGTTAAAAGATCGTTTGTAAATAACTTCTAATACTTGTTTTTAGTCCTTTTATGTTGCAGAAGTTCATGGTATGTAGTTTAATGAAAAATGAAACCATTTTATTTCAATGTTATTAAAAAGGGTTTTATTAAGAAGTAAATGTATCATGGCAGTGTTTTGTGCCTGTTTAAAGGCTTTTGTTTAGCAGAGTGAATGTAAAATACAGTAAAATATTAATATTGTCATCTATCTTATGAAAGACGTCAACTTGGAATTTTTTTTTAAAGGCTCAAGGAAGTGAGGTGTGCAATAGGAAGACAGTATGCAGTCATGTCTGTGTCATGGGAGCGATCCATAAACTCTTTCCATTCACTGGATTTTTGTTGATGGCTGTATTCTTGTGGATTAATAAGAAGATCATGCCCTTAGCAAATAATTTTTTGTTTTATATTAAGAGATTCCCAAATGCTTTTCCCCCCACTCATGTTGGGATGAGATGAGTTTTTATATGTGTGATATTTATTTAACTATTCTATAAAATTATTAGATGGCTGTATTCTTGTGGATTAATAAGAAGATCATGCCCTTAGCAAATAATTTTTTGTTTTAAATTAAGAGATTCCCAAATGCTTTTCCCCCCACTCATGTTGGGATGAGATGAGTTTTTTTATGTGTGATATTTATTTAACTATTCTATAAAATTATTAAGTGCCTGCTAAGGCCTTTAAACATTCCTAACATTCCTTTCCATCATTCTTAAATGACATAAAGTAATTGTGCAATGTTCTTGATGATGTACCTAGCAAGCTGCATGCAAACTCGAATCTATTGAATGACTAATCCAACAAAATGCAATTTGGATCAGATCCTCAACCCCTTGACTGTGTGAAAGAAGTACTCTCCTTCCAGTGAAGGATTGTCACAGAGGTTCACTCTTTGAAACTCTGCCCCAGTGTTCTTACTGTATTTTACATGTGCCTGTAAATTATTTGCAAAAAAAGAAAAAAAAAATGGTAACTTAACATGGCAACTACCAAACTACCTTAAAACAAATGTTGGTGACATAGCCAGTTAAGTGTCAGTGAGCCTCCTGTCTGTGGTCTTGTTTGTTCCTGTTGTTTCAAAACCATTTCATGTACACTACTGAGGTGAGTTTATAACTTGAAATGTGAACTTTTTTTTAGGGTTAAGAACAAACTATATAAATGTTAAAAAAAAAAAAGTTTTAGAGTTCTGTTTTCAAATGTGCTAGTAGTTTAGTAACTTAGCTGCTTTGTATTTGAGAAGCTTTTATTTAGATCTTGCTCCATTTAAAGTACGTTCTTAGGATGTACGTACTAAATAAAGCTTTCTTTAAAGCAATTTCAAGACCTTATTTTAAATTGTTTTCTTTACGCTGATTTG